ATTTCTCTTTTTTTTGCAGAACTGGGGATTGAACTCAGGCCCTTGCAATTGCCAGACAAGTGCTTATTCTACTGAGCCATCTCCCCAGCCCCAGAATACTTTTGTCAATATCATGTTGTTTAGACTGATAATTTTGATAACCATAAATGACATTACCCACTCATATATTCATAAAATCCACAGAAAAATTAATAATGAACTAAAACTGGTAGAAAATTGGTAACTAGAAATGACATTACCCATTCATATATTCATAAAAACCACAGAAAAATTAATAGTAAATTAAAAGTGGTAGTAAAAGAGAGAAATGAAAACATTTCCACAACATTGATGGGGCTACAAAAATAATAGATGTTTTAGAAAACAATGAGTAAATATGTAAAAAGTTTATATCAAAGAATAATTTCCAACCAAAAAAATGAACGTATGTGGAACAAAACTGAAGAACCGAAAAAGAAATTTGCTTATCAAGTCATTCAGTAGCAAACCACAAGAGATTTTGGAAGGTGGACCAATTTTCACCATACTTTTGGCAACTCTGTGTTCATATGAGAACTTACAATTGAAGGACAAGTACTGGGACTGTGTTTATCAAAAGAGCAGGAGAAAACTCTTTTGAGTCAGGATCAATATTTGCCAAAAGAGTCAGGGCATCAAAAAATTTCAGTTGATTTAAAAGATAGATTTTTATGTAAAAATAAACACCCAGGTAATATGTGGATGTACACAAAGTCAGTTTCAAATCTATTTTATACTGATTATTAGAAAAAAACAATAGTTTAGTTTTAAAAATTGCAGAGTCATTGTATGAATGTTCACTAGAATTCTTGAAAGTTTAGTAAAACTATATCAGCTACTATTTTTATACTTGTTAAATAGTATAATTTGCAAATACAAAATACACTACAGAAAAGGAAGATATCTAAATATAGTTTTATTCTATTTTATATTTTTTTCACAACAATATGGTCCTTTATTTATACTTTTGCAAAGTCAGCAACAAGTGACACGCAGTTACCTAGTGACTAATA